GCTTGCCAAGACCACACTCAACTGCTTGCATCTGCAGGGGTTTAAGCAGGGGTTCTGCAAGGGGTTAAGAAGGAGAGAGTTAACCACAAGCTTCAGCTAAATGTGGCTGTAACTTTTGCAGAAGAAATATTTATCATCTAGATAGTCTGGAATGGAGCAATTATGCCTGCAGTTTTTCCCTGAGTCTGTAAATTGTCCTTGAGCTTTACCCAACTAACTCTTATAAAATAAACATGGAGACCATGTTCAGGGTCATTGTCTCTCCATCAGAGGACAATGTCCCAGCTGGTCCCTGCTTTTCCTTAAACCTTCTGTGTCTGTGTCTTTCTTAATCTCCCATTGCCCCTCCTCTTCAGAGACTTCCTCCCCACACTGGTCACAGCAGTCAGCCTTTTATCTGTGATATAGCTTGCAAATATTTTCTCCCAATTTGTAAGTTATCTTTTGACTTTATTTTTTAGTGTAGTCTAATCTTTGAATATTTCAGATTTTCAATATTTTCTTTTATGGCATCTTTTGTTTTGAGTTATAGTCAGAAAGTTCTTTTTTACACTAAGGTTAAACAGGAATTTACCCATGATTTCCTCTAGAACCTATATGGTTTCATTTTTTATGTTTATATCCCTGACCTATTTGGAGTTTATTTTTGTGGTATGATGTGAGTTCTGGATATAATTTTATCTTTTTTCCAAATCTCAAACCACTGTTCCCATCTATATGCTTATATTTTAACTTTTTTAAAAAACCACTGGATTATACACTTTATTTATTTATTTTTTGAATTATTTTTTAAAAGATTTTATTTATTTATCTTTAGAGGGTAAGGGAAGGAGAAGAGAGGGAGAGAAATATCAATGTGTGGTTGCCTCTCGTGCGTCCCCTGCTGGCAACTGGCCTGCATCCCAGGCATGTGCCCTGACTGGGAATCAAACCACGATCCTTTAGTTTGCAGGCCTGCACTCAATCCACTGAGTTACACCAGCCGGGGCATATTTTAACTTTTTATTTTGAGATCATTTGAAATGTATATGCTATTGCAAGAAATTAAATACAGAGATTCCCATATCACCTTCACCCAGTTTCCCTCAATGCTAACTTTTTGTAAAACAACAGTACAATGTCATGACCCCAAACATCAATATTGATACAATACACAGAACTTATTCACATATTTCCAGTTTTACATACACCCATTTGTGTATGTCTGTGTATATTTAGTTCTATGTAGTTTTAGCACAGATAAAGAGTCATGTGACCACCCCATCATGATTCAGAACATGATTTACAAGAATCCTTTCTCCTACCTTTTCATAGTCATACCACCTACTCTCCACCCCCTCTCTCCCAGTTCCTGGCAGCCTCTACTCTGTTCTCCATATCTGTATTTTTGTCATTTTAAGAATGTTATTTATATAAATGGAATCATGCAGTTTGTAACTTTATGAGATTTGCTCTTTCTCACTCAGCATAATTCCCTTCAGTTCCACCTACCGTATTTTGTCATTTTGCCACGTATAATGTGCTCCAGTGTATAATGTAAGCCCGTGTTTTGTGTGTGTTATAAACAAGATTATTATACCCATGGCATATGATCATTATCCCCATGTATAATATGTATCCTTATTTTTCCCTCAAAAATTTGGGCAGAAAGTGTGCATTAAACATGGCAAAATATGGTAAGTTGTTGTGTTTCAATGGTTCATTCCTTTTCATTACTGAGTGTTTTTCCATGGCATATATATACCCTTTTTTAAAACCATTTACCTGTTGAAGGACATATGGGTTAGTTCCAGTCTTTGGTTGTTACAAATAAAGCTGCTATAAACATTCATCTAAAGACATTTGTGTAAACATATTTTTCATTTCTCTGGGATAAACAGCCAAGACTGCAGTTGCTGCGTTATATGGCAAGCTATATACTTACTTTTTATTGTGAAACATCAATTACTTCAATTTTGTTCATTTCAGCTCTGTGGCTAAAGGAATTATTGCACTGTCCATAAAAACTGATGTTTGCAGCATCATTGGTCATGAGGGGAATGAAATTAAATCTAAATGTGCCACTACACACCCTCTAAAATGGTTAAAATTTCAAAGACTGACAATAATAATGCTGATGATATAGAACAACTGGAATTCTCATACACTATAGCTGAGAGTATAGTGGAACAATCACTTTCAAAAACTATTTTGCAATATCTATTAGAGCTAAGTATATGCATACTTTCTAACCCAGCAATTCTGATTTCATATGTACTTTAAAAGACTGGTAAAAGAATGTTTATAGCAGCTTTCCTCACAATGGCCCAAAACTGGAAACAACCCAAATATTCCATCAGTAGGAGAATGGATAAAGTATGGTATATTCAAACAAAGAAATACTATATAACAATGTTAAATTACAATCAACTGCTAAGTGTAACAATATGAATGACTCTTACAGATACAATGTTGAGTAAAAGAGGCAGATACCAAAGTACACACAGTGAGATTCCATTTATAAAAAGTTCAAAACCAGACAAAATTAATCTATTGTGATAGAGGTCAAAATGACGGTTAACTCTGAGGTATAATGAAAGGAAAGAGATATGAGGGAGACTTTTCTGGGATGTTGAAAAGTATTTTTATCAAAAGGTGGTGGCAAGGGTTTATAAAACAAATCATTGAACTATAATTTTAAGATCTGTGCTGTATGTTGTACAAAAGTTTTATTAAAAATGAAGGAAAAGAAATCACATATGCTCAAAATAAATGGCAAATCTATGTTTTGAATCCACGTCTCTTTAGCTACAAATCCATTTCTCTTTAAATTCTGCTTTTTGCCTCAGAAGCTCTTATTTTATTACATTTAGTGAAAACTGAGCACAGGTAATTTATTTAAAAAACCACAATTTCCACCAGACTGGTAGACTCAAAAGACTGATAATACCCTACATTAGTAGAATACACTCTCATTGTATGTTACACATTGGTGAAAATTTAAGTAGGGCAATTGATAAAGATGTATAAGCAGGTTAAACTATGAAAGCCTCATTCTCAACTATATTGCTGAACACATTCAGGCAAACAATGCAGTAAAAAATTATGACTCAGTTTATAATATAGTGACATGGAAAGTTTGATGTATTTTGTTAGACAAAGAGATAGATTACAAAACAGTATTGCAGTATGATTCTGTTTTGACTGAGAAAATCCTATATGCCTATAGCCATGTTAATTCACAGAAAACAGGTAAAAAGATTGGAATAAAATGTGCAAAGAAGCTGTTTCTAGGTGAGCTTTACTTAAAGCTTTTCTGTGTTCTCTAAATTTCTCAATTAAGAAATTACTAATTTTACAGTCAGAAAAAATAATAGAGCTAATCCCTCCCCCTCTGAGAGCAGACAAAATAATAGAAGATATGTGTGTGTGACAAATGGGGTACAGTGTTGTAGTGGTTTGAATTCTGGCTGAAGAGGCCTGAACTTTCTTTCTAGATGTGAAGCCCTTCAGATGAGTGACTCAAATACTGCCTTAAAAGTCCTAAATCTTGAATCCTAAGATTTATACACAATGGATCCCTTATACTTTGCCCCGTACTTATCTAGGCTCAGATCTCTTGTTGTCAACCTCTATACAAACCATTACTCCAACAAGGAAATGACATCTGCCTTGGAAATTAATCAAATAATAATTGAACTCTGCACATAAAGAAATGGGACTTAGGCCTGATACAACTATGCAGAAATCCAGATCATTCCCTTGATCATCAGGCAGAAAACGAAGTTGAGAAAGCAATCTGAAGGATCAGGATAATGACACGTTAGAAATAAGACAGCAGAGATGCCCATTTACACCTCTAGGAATCTTAAACCAATCCTTCAGAAAGTTACCTAAGCACCCTAAAGAGTCACATTCCCCAATGACTCACAGTGAAGAAAACAAGATGGCTCCAGAATGCAGATTTTTAATTGGAATAGGGAAAAGAGCAATTGTAATCAGGGAGACCCAACTGATTAGTTAAATGTATATAGGTCCTATATTACACACCTTTGAACAAATTTCTCTGAGTAGGGTGAGTCATCTACACTTCGCTCAGCAGAAGTCAATGCCACACTCTGGCATCTACAGACCCTTGAATAGACAGGAACTCCTGTTCCTATAAGGTCCTGGAAGGGAATGTAAAGTTTAATGGACATTGGAGCTGAACAGCAAAGAAAAAGATTTGCCTAAGAAAGTTATTAGTTACTAAATTACAAAATTTCCATGTATAGAAAACTAAGACAAATGCAAAATTGTAGAAAATAATGAAGGATATGGAATGTTTTTAAGATATAATGTCAGCAGAGAAATCACTTTACAAATCAAGTTGACCAATATAAGTATATCAACATAAGGTGACAGAAAAAAGACCAGAGTTAAATACCTATTTCCGTTACCTATTGCTGTGTATCCACCTCAGAAGTTTGTAGCTTAAAACAAAACGCATTAATTACCGCATTATTCTGGGAGAAGCAGGAGAAAAGGAAGCAGCAGGAAACCCCGGAATACAGATACTAACAAAGGAGAGAACATAAATTTGGCCTGTGGAGGGAACACCCCTCTCTGCGTTAAGCAGGACGATGGGCACTGAAGGTTGGGGTACCATGAAGAAGGCAGCTCAGGAAAGGCTTCAGTGCAGGGCAACTCTGGTTAACACAGGCATCCTCCTTTTCAGAGACAGACATACTGTCAAGAAGCTCTTCAGCAGAACCTCTCCGTCCCAACGTTTAAATAAAAAACTGCAGAAATGAAGCACTACCCCAGTGACAACAACCAAAACTAACCGATCAGAGTTAAAAGCCTCCTGCGTGGCAATAAGCAAGGAGAGTATTATCTTATAACTGGCGTTCTCAAACCAACCGTGCCACGTTCCCCACATGACAGCCAACCACGGTCATTCAAAAAGTTCCGCATCACGCACCCTTCCCGGCCTCCTCAGCACGCACACACAAATGCTCACACTCACTTAAACTCCGTACCTACGCCTGAGCCCCGGGGTCCACAGCCCAGTCTGCGCCATATGGGCTGCGGATTTCCTCCCCTTGAGCGCCTGCCCAGCCCGGACACCTAGGTTACCACTAGGAGCGCGAGGAATTTGAGAACTTGTGGAGGGGAACCAGAAATGATCGGAGATCAAAGTTCTCTTCCAAAGCAGCCCAGGGCGGTGGGAAGTGTAGTTCGTAGCGGAGAAGGCGGGATCTGCAGGGGTGTACTGAGGAAGCGGCACCAAACCCAGAGCCGCGGAGACTCCTGGGCTGCAGAGCTGCGCGGAGTACGCAGGCGCAGACGGCTGGCTGGGGCAGGCGCAGACGGCTGGCTGGGGCAGGCGCAGACGGCTGGCTGGGGCAGGCGCAGACGGCAGGCTGGGGCGTAGAGGAGACTGGCGTGTGCTGCAGGCTAGGAGGAGGCGGTGGCGGGCTGCTGTGTAATGCTAAGGAGGAGGGCGGGAACTTGGGCTGGGGAAAGCGAGAAAGCTAGAGGGAACCTAGGATGAGAAGGCCGGGAAGGAAAGTGAGAGTCCGGGTCATAGAGAAAGCGAAGAGGGGAGAGAGAACCTAGGCAGAGGAAGGAACAAGGACCCAAGGCCGGGAGCGCTGAGGAGGGAACCGAGAGCTCGGACCTGCAGCGATCCAGGCTAGAGAGGGCCTAAAAGGGAACTGGAAATCCCAGGCAGGCCTGAGCTCGGCCTGGGCAGGAATTGTGTCTGTTTCCCCCCTCACCCTACCCTCAACCTGTGAGGAAACCCAGCTATCAGAGCGCAGCCGCGACCCCATGGTCAATCGGTTTGTGTAGCCTTGTGTGCCTGTGCTTATCTGTGTTTGGGCACGTGTTACTCCGTGTGACATTCTGGCACTAATTGGTTGTGAAAGTGTCAGGGTCTCTGCATGTGTCTAATTTTTAGAATACGTGCATGTCGATTTTTTGTTGTTGTTGCTAGATTACAATTGTCCCCATTATTCCCCCATTACTTTCCCCTGCCCAACTCAACCCCCAGCTCCCACATTCAGTCGTCCCTCTTGTTGTCTTTGTTCATGGGTCCTTTATACATGTTCCTTGACTTGACCCTTCCCCATCTTTCCCGGTTATACCTCCCCTCCTCCCCTTGGGTCACTGTCAGTTTGTTCTTTATTTGCATGCCTCTGGTTCTATTTTGCTCACTAGTTTGTTTTGTTAATTAGGTTCCACTCACAGGAGATCATATGGTATTTATGCTTCACCACCGGGTTTATTTCACTAAGCTTAATACTCTTCCATCCATGCAGTCAGGAAGGGTAGGAGCTCCTTTTTCCTTTCTGCTGCACAGTATTTCATTGTGTAAATGTACCATGTTTTTTTGATCCATTCATTTACTGATGGGCGTTTAGGCTGTTTCCAGCATTTGGCTATTGTAAATAATGTTGCTGTGAACACTGGGGTGCATGGTTTCCTTTGAATTGGTGTTTTAGTGTCCTAGGGTATCCCAGTAGTGGAATTGCCAGGTCAAAAGGTATTTTCATTTTTAGTATTCTGAGGAAATTCCATACTGTTTTCCACAGTGGCTGCACTAGTCTGCATTCCCACCAACAGTGAACTAGGTTCTCTTTTCACCACAACTTGGTCAGCACTTGTTTGCTGATTTGTTTATGATGGCCATTCTGACAGGTGTGGAGTGGTATCTCATTGTGGTTTTATATTTTATTGATTGTGCTATTACGCTTGCCCAATTTCCACCCCCTCCATTTCCCTCCACCCTGCACACCCCCCTCACAAACATTCCCCCCTTTAAAAGTTCATGTCCATGTGTCATAAGTTCTTTAGCTTCTACATTTCCCACACTATTCTTTCCCTCTCCTGTCTATTTTCTACCTACCGTCTATGCTACTTATTCTTTGTACCTTTTCCCGCTTTCTCCTCCACCCATTTCCTTGTTGCTAACCCTCCATGTGATCTCCATTTATGTGGTTCTGTTTCTGTTCTAGTTGTTTGCTTAGTTTGCTTTTGTTTTAGGTGTGGTTGTTAATAACTGTGAGTTTGCTGTCTTTTTACTGTTCATATTTCTTATTTAATTTTTCTCAGATAAGTCCCTTTAACATTTCATATAATAAGGGCTTGGTGATGATGAACTCCTTGAACTTGACCTTATCTGAGAAGCACTTCATCTGCCCTTCCATTCTGAATGAATGCTTTGCTGGATAGAGCAATCTTGGATGTAGGTCTTTGGATTTCATGACTTGGAATACTTCTTTGTAGCCCCTTTTTGCCTGCAAGGTTTCTTTTGAGAAATCAGCTGACAGTCTGATGGGAACTCCTTTGTAGTTGACTCTCCCCTTATCTCTTGCTGCTTCTAGAATTCTCTCCTTCATTTTAATCTTGGCTAATGTAATGATGATGTGCTTTGGTGTGTTCCTCCTTGGGTCCACCTTCTTTGGGACTCTCTGAGCTTCCTGGACTTCCTGGAAGTCTATTTCCTTTGCCAGATTGGAGAAGTTCTCTTTTATTATTTGTTCAAATACCTTTTCCACTTGTCGCTCTTCCTCTTCCCCTTCCAGTACCCTTATAATTCAGATGTTGGAACATTTAAAGATGTCCTGGAGGATTCTAAGCCTGTTCTCGTTTTTTTTTTAATTCTTGTTTCTTCATCCTTTTCTGTTTGGTCGTTTTTTTCTTCCTTGTGGTCCACTTGATTGATTTTAGTCCCAGTTTCCTTTCCATCATTCTTGGTTCCCTGTGCATTTTCCTTCATTTCACTTAGCGTAACCTTCATTTGTTCATATAATTTGTTACCAAAATCAACCAGTTCTGTGAGCATCCTGATCACCAGTGCTTTGAACTGTGTATCTGATAGGTTGGCTATCTTCGTCGCTTAGATGTATTGGCTCTGGGGCTTTGATCTGTTCTTCCATTTGAGCCATTTTTGGGGGGTTTGGTCATGCCTGTTACATAGTGAGGGGTCTAGCCTTGGGTGTTCATCAGGGCAGGGAGACCCAGTTGCTGGGTTGTGACGCTGTATGTAGGAGGCGGGGTCAGAGAGGGAACAATGGCACTTGCTGCACTCTCTGTTGGATTTCAGTCCCTTCTGCCCCTTCCCACAAGCAAATTGGGCCCTTCTAGTGCTGGTTCCCAGGTGGGTGGGCTTGTGAACTTTCTAAGACCCTGTGGGTCTCTCCAATGAATTCTGTGAGGCTGGGAGTCTCTCTCGTCACCTCAACCCCCAAAAATGTTTTCAATCAGTGATTTTAGGCTTTATTTCCCAGCACTGGAGCCCTGGGTTGCACAGTTCGTCTCGCTGTTCGTTTTCACCTGGTTTATCTGCGCGTGAATGTGTAACCTCAATCAGCCAGCTGCCTGTGCACCTCACTGGGTCTGCGTGTTGCCACTCTGTGCCCATGTCCACCAACTACCACTTTTTCCTGCTGTGACGCCTCTCCACCTTCTGCCAACTCCACCCCTCTTACCGGTCTGGATGAATGGTCGTTGGACTTTTGTACAGTTCAATTTCCTGTCAGTTCTGGTTCTTTTTTTTGTTTGTTTCTAAATTTTTATTGCCCTGAATTTTGGTTGTGTAAGGAGGCACAGTGTGTCTACCTATGCCTCCATGTTGGCTGGAAGTCTCATTGTGGTTTTAATCAGCATGTCTCTGATGGCTAGTTATACTGAGCATCCTTTCATATGTTTTCTGGGAGCTCTTGTATGTCCTTCTTGGAGAAGTGTCTGTTCAGGTCCTTAGCCCATTTTTAATTGGATTGTTTGTCTTGCTACAGTGGAGTTGTGTGAGTTCTTTAAATATTTTGGAGATGAAATCCTTGTCTGAGGTATCATTGGCAAATACATTTTCCCATATGGTTGGTTCCTTTTTCATTGTGCTGCTGTTTTCTCTAGCCATGCAGAAGCTTTTCATTTTCATGAAGTCCTATTTTTTTATTCATTACTTTATGTCCTTTGCTGTGGGGTTGGGGGGCATCAGTGAAAATATTGCTGTGTGGAATATCTGAAATATTCCTGCCTATATTCCTCTAGGACTTTTATGGTGTCACAACTTGTATTTAAGTCTTTTATCTATCTTGAGTTTATTTTTTTAAGATTTTATTTATTTATCTTTAGAAGGGAAAGGAAGGAGAGAGGGAGCGAAATATCAATGTATGGTTGCCTCTCATGCGTCCCCTGCCACCAGGAATTGGCATGCAACCCAGGCGTATGCCCTGACTGGGAATCAAACTTTGATTCTTTGGTTCGCAGGCCCACGCTCAATCCACTGAGCTACACCAGCCAGGGCTTGAGTTTATTTTTGTGTAATGGTGTAGGTTGTGGGTAGAGTTTCAATTTTGTGCATATAGTTGTCAGATCTCCCAACACCATTTGTTGAAGAGGCTATTTTTACTCCATTTGTGCTGTTGCCCCCTTTGTCAAATATTAATTGACCATAGAGACATGGGTTTAATTCTGGAATCTCTGTTCTGTTCCCTTGATCTGTGTGTCTGTTCTTACACCAATACCAGACTGTTTTGATTACAGTAGGCTTGTAATATAGTTTCATATCAGGTATTGTGATCCCTCCTACTTTGTTCTTTCTCAGAATCGTGGAGGCTGTTCAAGGTCATTTATGGTTATGTTTAAATTTTTGAAATATTTGTTCAATATCTGTAAAATATCTTGTTGGTATTTTAATAGGGATAGTGTAGAAACTGCAAATTGTTTTGCATACTATAAGAATTTTGATGATACAATTTTTCCATTCTTTGACCATAGTATATGCTTCCATTTATTTTCTTCTTTAATTTCTTTCTTCAGTGTTCTATAGTGTTCTGAGTATAGGTCTTTTACCTCTTTGGTTTGGTTTATTCCTAGGTACTTTATTTTCCTTGTTGCTGTAGCAAATGAGATTTTTCCCCCCTAATTTCTGTTTATGATATTTTATTGTTGGTGTACAAAAATGCCTTCAACTTCATAATATTGACTTTGTATCCCACTGTTTTATCCAATTCATTTATTAGGTTGAGTAGTTTTTTGGTGGAGTCTTTAGGGTTTTCTTTGTACACTATCATGTCATCTACAATGACACTTTTACATCCCCCTTTCCAATTTGGATGTTTTTATTTCTTTTTCTCGTGTGATCGTTGTGGCTAGAACTTCCAATACTATGTTGAAAAGAAGTGAAAGAAGATATCCCCTCTTGTTCCCCATCCTAGTGAGCAAGCTTTTAGTTTTTGCCCATTGAATATGATGTTGGCTGTAGGTTTTCCATATGTGACCTTTATTATGTTGCAGCATGCCCCATCTACTCCCACTTTGCTGACTGTTTTTATCATAAATGGGTGCTGTACCTTATCAAATGCTTTTTTCACATCTATTGATATGATCATGTGATTTTTGTCTTTGCTTTTGTTTATGTTATATATTTACTGACTTGCAAATATTGTACCAACCTTGAATCCCTGGATTTAATCCCACCTGATCATGTCATGTGATCTTTTTAAGGTATTGCTGGATGCAGTTGCCAATATTTTGTTGAGTCTGCGTTCATCAGCAACTTTGGCCGGTAATTTTCTTTCTTTCTTTCTTTCTTTCTTTCTTTCTTTCTTTCTTTCTTTCTTTCTTTCTTTCTTTCTTTCTTTCTTTCTTCCTTCCTTCCTTCCTTCCTTCCTTCCTTCCTTCCTTCCTTCCTTCCTTCCTTCCTTTTTCTTTCTTTCTTGTGATTTTATCTGGTTTTGGGTTTAGGATGAATCTGGCTGCATAGAAAGACTTTGGGAGTCTTTCTTCCTGGATTTTTTGGAATAGTTTGAGAAGGATAGGAATTAGCCCTTACTTAAATATTCTGTAAAATTCTCCTATGAAACCACTGGGTCCAGGGCTTTTGTGTGCTAGGAGGGGTTTTTTTTTTATTACTGCCTCAATTTCACTAGCTGTTACTAGTCTCTTCAGGCAGTCTGCTTCTTCTTGTTTCAGTTTTGGAAATTATATGTTTCTAGAAATTTGTCCATTTCACCCACATGTTCAAATTTCTCGACATATAGTTGTTTGTAGTCATTTCTCACAATCCTTTGTATTTCTGTGGATTCAGTTGAAATTTCTCCTCTTTCATTTCTGATGTAATTTATTTAGGTCCTCTTTTTTTTTTTTTTCTTGATGAGTGGTTACAGCTTGTCAGTTTTATTTAATTTTTTCAAAGAACCAACTCCTGGATTTATTGATTCTTTTCATTGATCTTTTAGTCTTTTATGTCATTTAATTCTGCTCTGCTCTTGATTATTTCCTTCCTTCTCCTCATTGTGGGTTTTGTTGTTGTTCCTCCAGTTCTTGTAGATGTAGGGTTAGGGTTTTTATTTGAAATATTTCTGTCTTTTTTTTTTAAGTAGGTCTGTACTGCTCTGAATATCCTTCTCAAGACTGCCTTTGCTGTATTCCATATGTTTTAGATTGTAGTATGTTCATTTTCATTTTTTTCCAGAAACTTTGTTATTTCTAACTTGATCTCATTATTAATCCATTCATTGTTTAACAGCATGTTATTCATTCTCCATCAATTTGAATGTTTGAGTTTTTTTCCTTGAGATTGGTTTCTAGTTTCAAGCCCTTGTGGTCTGGGAAAATGCTTGATACAATTTTAATTTTCTTGAATTTGTTGAGGCTTATTTTGTGTCCTATCATGTGGTCTCTGTATGAAAATGCCCTATGTGCCTCTGAAAAGAATGTGTATTTTGCTGTTTTGAGATGAAAGGTCCTATTTATATCAGTTAAGTCCATTTGATCTAGTGCCTCATCCAATGCCACAATATCCTTGTTGGTATTTTTTGGGAGATCTATCCATTGTTGACAGTGGAGTATTAAAATTGCCTACTATAAGTGTGTTGCTGACTTTATCTTTCTTGAAGTCCTTCAAGATTTTCCTTACATATTTGGGTGTTCCTTTGTTGGGTTCATATATGTTTATAATGGTTATATCTTCCTGATGAATTCTTCCCTTGAGTATTATGAAGTGTCCTTCTGTCACTTTTTATGGACTTCATTCGGGATCTATTTTGTCTGATATAAGTATTACTGTGCCAGCTCTTTCTGTTTTGTCTATTTGCTTGGAATCTATTTTTCCAATGCTTCATTTTCGGTCTGTGTAGGTTTTTTGTTCTGAGGTGGGTCTCTTGTAGGTATTATATGTGCAGGTCATATTTTCCCATGCATTCAGCTACATTGTGTCTTTTGATTGGAGCATTTAATTGATTTACATTTAAGGTTATTATTAATAGGCACTTATTCAATATAATTTTCTCTCTTTATACCTGTGTTTCTCTCTCTATTTCTTCATCTTCTTAAAGCAGTCTCTGTAGCATGACTTGCAATGCTGATTAAGTGGAGGTGTATTCTTTTAGCCTTCTTTTGTCTGGGAAACTCCTTATTTCACCCTCCATTTTAAATTAGATCCTTGCTTTGTAGAGTAGTCTCAGTTGCCGGCCTTTACTTCTCATTACTTAGAATATTTCTTGACATTCCCTTCTGGCTTATAGTGTTTCTGTTGAGAGTCAGCTGTTCTGGGGCTCCCTTGTGTGTTACTTCCTGTTTCTCCCTTGCTGCCTTTAAGATTCTCTCTTTGTCTTGGAATTTTGCCACTTTAATTATAATGTGTCTTGAAGTGGGCCTGTTTGGGTTTACCTTGTTTGGGACCCTCTATGTTTCCTGGACTCATGTGAGTTTTCTCTCATCATTACAGAAGTTTTCCATCATTACTTTTTCTAACAGGTTTTCTATCCCTTGTTCTTCTTCTGCTGGTATCCCTGTTATACAGATAATATTATGTTTCATAATTTCCTGGAGTTCCCTTAACCCCTCTTCATTCTTTTTTAGTATTTTTTCCTTTTCTTGCTATTTCTGGGGATTTATTTCTACCTTATCACTGATTCAATTCTCTGCTTCATCTAGCCTGCTTTTGATTCCTTCTACTATGTTCTTCAATTCAGAATTTGTATTCTTCCTTTCCTCCTGACTTTTGTTGATAGTTTTATGCCATTTTTCATGCTTATATAGCTTGCAGTACATTCCTTGTAGCTTCCCTGTAGTTTTTGGTAATTCTCACTGAGCTCATTGAGCTTCCTTATAACCATTGTTTAAACTCCATATCAACAACTTACTTGCCTCTCTTTCATTTAGCACTCTTTCTGGGGATTCCTCCTTCCTTTCATTGAGGGTTTGGTTTTTTGTGTTCTCATTTTTTGGGAGACCATCCTTGTTTGCTTCTGCTTATTAAAATGATTGTTTTGACTCCCTGTCTTTGTGGTGTGAACTTCTATGGTAGGAGACCTGTGTGATTCAGTGGTGTAGTCTCCTTGATATCCTGAACTTGATGCTCTTGGGATGCCCTTTATGCCATTTATATTGACTCTCTGGATGTAATTTGGTTTTGATTGTTGTTGGGTCATTCTTTGATGAGTCCTTCCCTCTAGCTGGCTGACTGAGGGTCACTTCACCTGCCACGTCTTGTGTGCTGTTGTGCAGATGCTGCCAGAACAAAACCACAAAGGCCAGGAAAGAAACCCACATCTGCAAAAATAACTCCTACTCACAATCCCCATCAATAGCAAATGAGCCAGTATTAATAAGGGCATAAAGAGATTAAGACTATTATAAGAAAGGAGAGTTAATATGAGATGACCCTCTGAAAGAAAAATGATTTTGAGAGGGTAGAGGGAGGAGCACTAATAAGAGTAGGGAATCACACCAATGTGAAGAGAAAAAGTAATATTTACATCATAAATTTTTTAAAAGAAGGGAAGAAGGCAGAAGGAGTAAGAGAAGGGAAGTGTATAGTATTAGGTTTAAACAGAAATTAAAATAAAGTGAGAGAGAAAGAAAACGGGAAAATAAATAAATAATTAAAAGGAACCAAATCATAGAGAAAGATCCATCACAGCCCTATCAATAACAAATGAGCTAAAATTAATACAGGTATGAGGGGAATAAGAGGGAAAAAAGAAAGAAAAGCTTAATATGTCTAGAGGAAAGGGAAGTGATTTTGAGAAGATAGAGGTAGAGGGAATACTATGAGTGAATAACAAAAACCAGATAACATGGAAAATTTGAAAGTTGAGACAAAGAAAAGTAACAGAGGGAACACTAAAATTTGAGATTTGAAATACAAACTAGTGAAGCTCTAATAAAATTGAAAAAATACAATTACCTTATCCACAACTAATGAGGAAAGATGCTAAAGGTGGAGAGAGAATGTAGGTTTTTGAAGAGTAGGAAAAAAAATGTGAGATGACCATTAACAAGAAAATTGGTTTTAAGAGGCTGGACAGGAGAAATAGTAAGAATGTGGACAGGAAACAAGTTATAGCAAGAGAAAACAAAATTTAAAATGAAAATAATAAGAGGAAAGAAGAAGGTAAAATAGGGTGAGAGAAGGAAGGGAGGGACAAAATATGTGAATTGTAATAAACTATGGTATAAAATCTAGTGTCTTAATATGCACAAACTTGGACAAGAAATAAATATTAAAAAGCTGTGCAGGAAAGAAAATATTACAAATCATGGAGAAGACCACACTGGGTTTCATCTGGGTACCATCTAGCATTTGCCACTGTTTTTCTTTCTGGATCCACCTCTGGTGATATCAGATGGTGACCTTGTCCAGCCTTAGGCAGCCTGTATAAGACTTCCAGGGATCTGGTGTCTGTGGCTGACTCCTTCAGTTAATCTATTCACTCTTCACACAGCAGTCAGGCTTAAACACCATAGGTGAGGCAGAATCCCTCCTGGGGGGTCAAAACTACTGTTTCCCCTCAGGTGGCTACCACTTGGAGGGGAGTGGTCTGCCTGAGCCTGATGGCTACTGCTGTATGGGGGATGACTCAGCACCAGGATCCTGACAGCTACTCTCTCAGGTCTTTCCCAAAAGCCTCTGTCCTCAGTCTCTCAAGCATTTCTAGTCCACTCTGTCCACTCAACCCCCTTTGCCAGAGCCCAGGGTAAGTGGCTGCAAATGAAAATTTATATGTTAACCCTTTAAACAGCTCTTTGCATCTATCTCTGGCAGAGAGAAACCCTGCTGCTTTTTGCAACTGGATGTTATCTGTGTACTTTTCAGGCTCTTGGGCTAGACTGAGGATTCCAACTTAGGGTTTATACCCCACACTTCTCAGGGGGATCCAACTAACTGCTTAACTATCCCTCTGGCACTTCCGCTGCTACCTGTGGGCACCCAGCCAGCCCTCATGTGTCTCTACCGCACTCTACCATGACTACCAGTCACACTGTGCTCAATCTGTTTCTTCTGTCTGTCTGTGATTATAGGCTTCTCTCACTGTTGTTGAGTTGTTGTTCTGGGTGATTGCTCCACAATTTAGTTGTAATTCCACATTGGTCCTGAGAGGAGGTTAGTGTAACTTCCGTTCCTCCGCCATCTTGGGTCCCTCTCTCCCAATAATTTCTCAATTTGTTTTGAGACTGTACACAACTTTAAAGAGGCCACCGTGAGGGGTTTGTGCATGAACTTTTGCTACTTTGTGAAGAAGTATTGTTATGGGCTCCATGAGATTATGTGTGACATGTGTCTGTGGGATGGTGATTGTGTAGTGTGTGCTATAAGTGTACGTATGTCTGATTTTTGAGGTATTTTGTGTGCATAGTTCACAGTGACTAATTTGAGTGTGGCTCATTGCATAATTGAGATGGAGTGCTTGAGAACTGGATGGATGATTAGTTAAATATGTATTGTTTGGATTATCTGAACTGGTTATTTTATATGACTGTTGCACTTAGACAAGTAAAAGAAATAGAGGTATTAAAAATGGAGAAGATGAGGTAAAAATTTTTCAGATTTCAGATTTAATTTCAGATTGTAGGATAGTGTATTGAGAAACCTCATATAGACTAATAAGTAATATGCTGAAATGAGTAGAACCCGTAAGTGACACTCAAAATTTCAATTGGGGTGATTTTTTTTCTGTTGCTGCTGCTGAATAAATTACTGGGCAGATAATAATTTCTTCAGTCATTTTGAAAATAATAAAAAATCTGTAGGACATTTAAACACAAGATCAATCCAATCTTATAATGTTCATTTAGCTAAACAAAATATTCAATGTATAAATCAATACTTCAAACTTGTTTTAAAAGCAGAAAACTCTCCCTTTTTCTGGAAGCCTGCAATTTATTCTCTAATTTTCAACCACTATTTTGCTTCTGTTTAATCCCTCTAGGTGGGCAGTATCCAGCTAAAGTGGATTGAGAGCTGGAAAAGGGAAGAGAAGTCAGAAGCCAGGGACAGGAAGAGGCTAACATGGCTGGTAACATTATAATTTAGTGTAAGTCATCTCTTACCCTCTGAGAGAACCCACTTCTGAGAACTTCCAGATACACTTTTCTTCTAATGGGTACAGCCACATTTCCAGCTGCCTCCCCAGTTCTTCCTCTGGATATGCAGTGGCCCATCTGGTCTGGTGGGTCTTGCCTTTCCATTCAGTCCTCTGAGACAGGAGGATACAAGGCAGGCTCCAACCATGGGTTCCTTATTTAGAGCTCGGGTGAGAATTAGCTACCATAATCAACTTTGCATGTTTCCAAATTATGGAAACATGTAAAATTTTCCCATAAATTTTCTCATCACCTTAGTTCCCAGTGGCCTCAGGGTGTGAAGGGCCCCTGTGTGTTATAAAAAAAGGGAGAATCAACCACTTTTCTCATCCTTGGAAATCTATGTTCTAAAAATAATATCCTCCCTTAAAGAGACTCCCTTCTCTCAGCCTCTCCAGCCTCTTCAAATAGGAGTTAAATTAATGGTAGCAAAACTTTACAGCCAGTTGCTTTATAGACTTTATTTTAGAATAAGGGACACTTAGAAGCTTTAACTCACCATCTTTGGGACATCTGCTAAGTCTGAGGCAGAAAGATTTCTAAGTTACGATACTGTTAAAAATGAACAATGACAACAATTAGAAAACTCAAAGGTTTGTTGGGGAAAAGAAAAAGTATTAGCAAAGCACAGATGTCTATGTAGATGTGTATACAGGTAGCTATATAGATGTCTATACTTATATATTTATTTATATGTATGTATGTGTGTGTGTATGTATGTATACCAGAAAATAGGAAAGTGGCCAGTGGCCATCAAAAATATGTGATACAAAGGATTGCATGATATATTCAAGTTTTTAAAAAATATTTCTAAGGGACTCAAAAATTAAGACAAATAAAAGGACAGAGAAACACAACACAATACAGTATCTAAACACCCAAACATTTCACACAGTTTCAGTAAAATTTTTGAAATTTCTAAAGTTCTTAGGAGAAAATGAACAAGCCAGAAATTCTGAAAGAGAAAAGTAATGAAGGGGGAAGTAGCCCTAACTGATACTAAAATGTGTTTTAAAACTGATAATTGCAGAGTGGTCTTAGCAATTATGAACACATCAGTAGAACTAAATATAAAGCCCGGATCTAGTTAAACACATAAAAGCAACAAAGTATATGATAAAAACGGTAGTTTTGGTGAGTGGAAGAAATACTGGTCATTGAATACCTATCAGTACTAAACCACATGCCCCATAATCTATTTTTTAAGTTACTTTTCCATGGGAAAAACCCAAAGTCAAATGATAAAGTATAAAAAATTATTTTACATAAATATAGGATTAATTTCCTTCCTTTAACAAAGACCTAACATCAACTAGAAAATAAAAATAACCTAGAAGAAAAGCAGAATAATTAGATGAGAAACTAAAGATGGTTTTTAAACTTATGAAAAGAATTGTATCTTCTCTCATAGTAAGAAAAATAACTTGAAACACAACTTATACCTAGTAGATAGGCAAGCATCAAGAAATTTGTATCAGCAGTATTCATCAAGGGTGACAGGTATTCCGATATATTGCTGGTGACAATATAAATTGTAGAGCCTTAATGGAGAGAAGTTTGGAAGTAGTTAATATCAGTAGGCTGCTTAGGCAAGAAAACATGCTGCTAGAGGGGAGAAAAGCTTTCTCAAAATTTAACCTGTTGCTCCAAGGGCCTGTTTCTCTGGCTTTGGGAATAGAATAAAATAAAATTTATCTAGCTTATTCTCCCTCCTGTATTATTTATGTGGGATTGCTGAGTGGACAGGGGCCAAGACAAGGAAAATGGAGGCAATTAGAGCTATAAGCCATCTCTGTGGTGTTATGTGGCATCTTTTCATATTGGCTTTCCCTTAGGAACCACCACTTTTCCAAAGAGGAACCCAAAGGAAGACTGAGCATCTCTTGCAAATTTCAAAACCATGGCTCAGGTGAGGTGCTGGTTTCTCTCCTTTCTGAAATAGTCTTTTTTTTTTTTTAAGGATATTTGAGCCTTTGCCTTTTTTGTATTAAATCCTTTTGCCAGCCTTTCCCTTCAGAGAAGTGGTCCTCACTTCTTCCATATTGGTGAAATAAGCCTTTAACTTCCAAAAGCGCTCCTTCTAATTTCAACCAGTGTTTACACATTAAATGAGTATATCATTCAACATCTTTCTCAGTCTTCTCTCAGAAGAAATACTGGCACAAAAATGCATTTCCTCAAGCTAAATGAGAATATATTACTGCATGAACTTCTATAGATAAAAACAGTCAAGATGGAGATGGAATCGACAGATTCTGATTAAGTGACAAGAAGTCCTTTCTTTTTTTTAAATTTAAATTTATTTTTTAATTGTTGTTCAAGTACAGTTTTCTGTCTTTCACTCCCATCTCAGCTCACCACCCCCAGTGCTCCCCACCTCCCTCCCATTTTCACCCCTCTTAGTTGTTGTCCATGTGACCTTTATACTAGTTCCTGTAAATCCTTCCCCTTTTCCCCTGAAATTCCCGCTCCTCTCCCCTCTGGTCACTCTCCACCTGTTCTCTATTTCAGTGTCTTTGATTATTGTTTACTTGTTTGTTTTGTTGATTATGTTCCTGTTAAAGGTGAGATCATATGGCATTTGTCTTTCAACACCTGGCTTATTTCACGCGGAATAATGCTTTCCAGTTCCATCCATGCTGTTGCAAAGGGTAGGAGATCCATCTTTCTTTCTGCTGCATAGAATTCCATTGTGTATATGTACCATGGTTTTTGGATCCATTCATTTACTGATGGGCACCTAAGTTGCTCCCAACACTTGGCTATTGTAAATTGTGCTGCTATGAATATTAGGGTGCATAGGTCCTTTTGGATTGGTGTTTTAGGGTTCTTAGGATATAATCCTAGCAGTGGAATTGCTGGGTCAAAAGGTAGGTCCATTTTTAGTTTTCTGAGAAAATTCCGTACTGTTTTCCATAGTGGTTGTACCAGTCTGCAATCCCACCAAAAATGGATTAGGGCCCCCTCTTCTCCACAACCTCTCCAACACTTGTTGTTTGTTGCTTTGTTTATGATGGCCATTCTGACTGGTTAAAGTGGTATCTCATTGTGGTTGTAATTTGCATCTCTCTGATAGCTAGTGATATTGAGCATCTTTTCATGTGTCCCTGGATCTTCTGTATGTCCTCCTTGGAGAAGTGTCTGTTCGAGTCCTTTGCCCACTTTCTAATTGGGTTGCTGTTCTTTTTAGAGTGGAGTCGTGTAAGTTCTTGGTACATTTTGGAGATTAGACCCTTGGCTGATGTATCATTAGGAAATATGTTTTCCCATATACTTGGTTCTCTTTATTTTAATACTGTTTTCTTTAGCTGTGCAAAAGCTTTTAATTTTGATGAGATCTCCTTTGTTTATTCTTTTCTTATGTCCCTTGCTCTAGAGGACATATCAGTAAAAATGTTGCTGCATGAAATATCTGAGATTTTCCTGCCAGTGTTCTCCTCTAGAATTTTAATGGTGTCACAGCTTATGCTTAAGTCTTTTATCCACCTTGAATTTATTTTGGTGTATGGTGTAATTTGGTGCTCAAGTCTATTTATTTATTTTTTTGCTTGTAGCTGTCCAGTTCTCCCAACACCATTTGTTGAAGAGGCTATCTTTACTCCATTTTATGTTGCTGCCCCCTTTGTTGAATATTAATTGCCTGTAGAGCCTTGGGTTGATTTCTGGGCTCTCTGTTCTTAACCATTGGTCTGTGTGCCTGTTTTCATGCCAGTACCAGGCTTTTTTGATTACAGTGGCCTTGTAATACAGGTCGGTACCAGGTATTGTGATCCCTCCTACTTTGTTCTTCTTTCTCAAAGTTGCAGCTGCTGTTCGGGGTCGTTTATGGTTCCATAAAATTTTTTGAAGTGTTTTGTTCTATGCCTGTGAAATATGCCATTGGTACTTTAATAGGTATTGCATTGAATCTGTAAATTGCTTTGGGTAGTATGCACGGTTTGATGATAATTCTTCCAATCCATCAACACACTATATGTTTCCATTTGTTTGTGTCTTCCTTAATTTCTTTCATCAGTGTTGTGTAGTTTTCTGCATATAGGTTTTTTACCTCCTTGGTTAGGTTTTCTTTTATTTTTTTAAATTTATTTATCTTTAGAGAGGAAGGGAAGGAGAGAGGGAGAGAAATATCAATGTATAATTGCCTCTCGTGTGTCCCCTCTGCTGGGAACTGGCCTGCAACCCAGGCATGTGCCCTGACTAGGAATCGAACGGCAATACTCTGGTTCGCAGGCCTGCACTCAATCCACTGAGCTACACCAGCCAGGGCTTGGTGAGGTTTATTCCCAGATATATATGTGTATGTGTGTGTGTATTAATTTATTTATTTATTTTGCTATATCGAATGGGATTTTTTCTTGATTTCTGCTTCTGCTGATTTATTGTTAGTATACAAAAAATGCCTTTGATTTCTGGATATTGACTTCGTAACCCGCTGTTTTTCCAAATTCATTTATTAGTTTGAACAATTTTTTAGTGGAGTCTATAGGATTTTCCATGTACACTATCATGTCATCTGCAAACAGTGACAGTTTTGTTTCCTCCTTTCTGATTTGGATGCCTCTTATTTCCTTTCCTTGTCTGATCACTGTGCTAAAACTTCCAATACTATGTTGAGTAGAAGTGGTGAAAGTGGATAACCTTGTCTTGTTCCTCATCTTAGTGAAAAAGATTTTAGTTTTTACCCATTGAGGATGATGTTGCCTGCAGGCCTTTCATATATGGCCTTTATTATATTGAGGAATCCTCCCTCTATTCCCACTTTGCTGAGTGTTTTCATCATAAATGGGCATTGTACCTTATCAAAAGCTTTTTCCCCGTCTATTGATATGATCATGTGATTTTTGTCTTTGCTTTTGTTTATGTGATGTATTACATTTACTTATTTGTGAATATTGAACCATCCTTGCATCCCTGGAATGAATCCCACTTGGTCATGGTGTATGATCTTTTTAATGAACTGTTGGATGCGATTTGCCAATATTTTGTTGAGGATTTTAGCATCTATGTTCATCAGCGATATTGGCCTGAAGTTCTTTCTTGGTGGTATCTTTATCTGGTTTTGGAATTAGGATGATGCTGGCTTCATAAAAGAAGTTTGGGAGTCTTCCATCATTTTGGATTTTTTGGAATAGTTGTGAAGAATAGGAGTTACCTCTTCCTTAAATGCTTTGTAGAATTCTCCTGTGAAAATATCTGGTCCAGGCCCTGGCTGGCATAGCTCAGTGGATTGAGCGCGGGCCTGCAAACCACACGATCATGGTTTGATTCCCAGGCAGGGCACATGCCTGGGTTGCATGCCAGTTCCCGGCAGGGGACTCATGAGAGGCAACCACACATTGATGTTTCTCTCCTTCTCTCCTTCCCTTCCACTCTAAAGATAAATAAATAAAATCTTAAAAAAAAACAAAACACACATACACACATCTGGTCCAGGGCTTTTGTGCTTCGGGAGATTTTTGATTACTGCTTCAATTTCATCTGCTGTTATTGGTGTCTGTTCAGACTTTCTGTTTCTTCTTCATTGAGTTTTGGAAGATTATATTTTTCTAGAAATGTGTCCATTTCACCTATGTTTTCAAATTTCTTGGCATACAGTTCTTCATAGTAATTTCTTACAATTCCTTCTATTTCTGTGACGTCAGTTGTAATCTCTCCTTTTTCATTTTTGATTGTGTTTATTTGTGTCCTCTCTCTTCTTTTCTTGATGAGCCTACTTAATGGCTTGTCAATTTTGTTTATCCTTTCAAAAAACCAGCTCCTGGATTCATTGATCCTTACGATTGTGCATTTAGTCTCTCTGTCATTTAATTCTGCTCTGATCTTGGTTACTTTTTTCCTCCTACTTGCTCTGGGATGTCTTTGTTGTTGTTCCTCGAGTTCTTGTAGGCGTAGGGTTAGGTTCTTTGTTTGAAATGTTTGTATCTTTTTTAGGTAGGCCTGTATTGCTATGAACTTCTCTCTCAGGTCTGCCTTCACTGTGTCCCATAAATTTTGGGTTGTTGTGAGTTCATCTTCGTTTCCAGAAACTTTTTGTTTTCTTCTCTAATTTCATTCTCGACCCATTCATTGTTTAATAGCATGCTATTCAATCTCCATGATTTTGAGTAATTTGGGTCTTTTACCTTGGGGTTGATTTCTAGTTTTAGTCCCTTGTGGTTGGAGTAAATGCCCGGGATGATTTTAAATTTTTTGAATTTGTTGAGGCTTGTTTTGTGTCCTGTCATGTGATCTATCTTTGAAAATGTTCCATGTGCATTTGAAAAGAATGTGTATTTAGCTTCTTTGGGATGAAGGGCTCTATATATATCAGTTAAGTTCATTTCATCTAGGGCATTGTTCAGTGCCACAATATCTTAGTTGATATTTTGTTTGGAAGATCTGTCCTTTTTTGGCAGTTGGGTGTTAAAATCTCCTACTATAATTTTGTTGCTGTCAATATTATTCTTGAAGTCCTCTAAGATTTTCTTTATATTTTTGGGTGCTCCTATGTTGAGTAAATATATATTTACAATGTTAATGTCTTCTTGGTGTATTCTTCCCTTGAGTATAATGAAGTGACCTTCTGGGTCTTTCTCCATGCCTTCTTTTTTTTTTTTTTTTTAAGATTTTATTTATTTATCTTTAGAGGGGAAGGGACAGAGAGAGGGAGAGAAACACCAATGTATGGTTGCCTTTTGTGCATCCCCTGCTGGGAACTGGCCTGCAGGGAACCAGCCTGCAACCCAGGCATGTGCCCTGACTGGGAATCGAACTGCGGTTGTCTGGTTCGCAGGCCCGCGCTCAATCCACTGAGCTACACCAGCCAGGGCTCTCCATGCCTTCTTTTTGAAGTCTATTTTGTCTGACATGAGTATTGGTACCTAGGCTTTTTTTCTTGTTCGTTTGCCTGGAAAATTTGTTTCCGGCCCT